GCGAAGCAGAAGCTCGTGCCACAGTTGTAGTGGGATCGGCTATTACTGAACTTATACACAAGAACACCATGATTAAAGGCGACGTACTCAGTGTGGCCCAGCTGGCTGGGATAATGGGCGCCAAACGAACTTCGGAACTTATACCTCTTTGTCACAACATTACATTAACGTCAGTTAAAGTGGAAGCGAAACTAAATCTGCAAACAAATAGTGTGGACATTTACGGTCGAGTAAAGTGCACAGGGCAAACGGGTGTGGAAATGGAGGCACTTACTGCTGTCACATTGGCGGCACTTACAGTCTACGACATGTGCAAGGCCATTTCGCATGATATAACAATAACAGATGTGAAACTCTGGGGCAAAAGAGGTGGTAAACGGACTTTTGAACGCAGTTAGGACAAAACATACTAACTTAAAAAAAAATATGATCTTGGAGTATACATCCAATAGGGCTGTTCAGGATCTTGCAATGCATCTTCGGAACATTTGTAAATTTACAACAATAAAATTCAAACGGTTGCCATGGTAGCTAACACAAAATTTTCAAACGCGAATGCAAATGCAAAACCAAGACTATTGGCACAAAATCCGGGACCACCCTATTATTTATTAGGTACTGCTTTCAGCATCAAGCAGAGACCACAACGATTATAAGAAATGACATTAATAGCCCAATTCTGTATCGGTGACAAAGATTTTTTTACTGACAAATTTTAATTTTTTTATATATTTTTCCGTAATAAAAACTGTGACAAAATTCATCACTGATACAGAATAGAGCCGTAAATGTTGCTGTATAATTATTACTGAACAATGGAAAAGTTGTTTTCGTCTCCAGCGACGAAAATCATTAGATTGAAAACTTTTTCTTCTTCTAATAATTATCTGGGACTTTTACTTTTTTTTGTCTCGCGGACGAAGACTGAAATGATTTACGTCTCTTCTTAATAATTATATGGAACTTTTATTGAAATGAAACTTCTTGAGTTCGGAGATCTAACGCGTTAAATATTTATCGCCACGATTGTTCATATCATCAAATCTGTATCGTTCGATTTTCAAAAATGAGGTGTCAAATTTAAGAGTTTTGCTTTTACGTAGTTTTAGTTTTCTGAAAAACGTTGCCGATGTTAAAAAATCAAATTGAATATGAATTGAAGTTCATCAGAACATGAGACTTTTGAAAGTGTATAAATAAGTATAACATTTGATGCTTTTTTTCAGAATATAGAAAGATTTTGCACTGTATTGTTAGGGGACATGAAACTACTTTAAATACTGGTACGTTACCCACCAAAAACTAAAAATCGAAAAAATTTTACATAGAGCACTTTGCAAGTGGACTACTCATATTTACGTTTAATTTCGTGTAACAATTAGGGTGCGTTCGGAAATGCATCAGCCAAAGCATCAGAGTCTTTTATATCTAAACTATAACTGATGGAAATGTCTTATTTGCGCAACTAAGTTCCAATTCGGCTTTTAACCGTGGTTGCGCCTATTTAACATTTCCATCAATTAAAGTTTAGAAATAAAAGAGACTGCTACTTTGGCTTGATGCATTTCTAAACGCGTCCTTAAATTAAGAGAAAACGAGAGACGTCATTTTCGTCTTAAAATAAACGTCCAGAGAGACAAGAAAACTAAAAGTCCCATATACATACATATGTAATTAATATGAAAATAGGTGAATTATTTCCGTCTTAAAATAAAACGTCCCAGAAGACGAAAAATAAATAAAAGTCCCGGGAGCACTCCATTATCGATCCCGACAAGACATAACCCAGACAATTTTTAAAAATCCAGACAGGACATAATACGAACATAACAAAACCCAGAGCAAATAAAATACAGATAACACATTATTCAGACAGCAAAAAAAAATTTACAATGCGTCCGGCATTGCAATTGAAGACTTATGCTTAAATATAAACGGTTACCACTCCACATTTTTTCGCTCCTTCACTGCAAGGAGACTAACCCTCTCCCCTACAAAATCCTCGGCAACCATTTTACCACAAGGACGAAAGCTGCGAATTATCGTCGATAGCAAATCAATTCCGATGGTGAATAACCGGAGAATTGTCGGATATAGCTCTCGTTCCCGGCGCATACAACTGAGATTGCGAACAAAGTACAGAGCCGTAGCAAAGTCCTCAATTTCCCAATTCGGCAGTACTTGGGAAAAGACAAAGAAACGGTGTGGCAAACATACAAGGCAATTGGCCGTCCGGTTGTAAATTATGCAGTGCCTGTGTGCTCGCCGGGGACAATTGGTTCGCAGTGGACGAAACTACAGACATGCCACAATACAACACCCCGGAGAACAAGGGGATGCCTTCTGATGCCACATCTACAGTGAAGCCGAAATTCTATCAGTAAGGGGCACAACATCATTCTCAGCAAGCAGTTCCTAGTAGGGTGCTACAGATGTCAGCACTCGAACATGCTTGAGCTGAAGGACCAGGTCCAGCACTACGCACAGCACCCCTGGGATTAGGACTGTACAGACAGGGTATTAACGGCATTTACAAACTCCAGTCGAGTGAATGCCGTCATCCGTGGCAATCACCACCTGCGAACGAGAGTCAGCTTCAACTGCCTCGAGATACCCACGTAACTCTGGCCCAACTCGCCTCCCAACATCCCCCATGGCACCAAGCACCTCTTCACATGCCCACTCAATCCAACTCAACTAACATGCCTCTCCCTCTGGTTCTACCTAATAGAAATATCAAGTTTCCTTGGCCTACCGTTAGTTGAGCCTGTGGACAATTAAGGGCTAAGTAAGGCCTTACAACAATAACAACAACTGTGTCTTTAATACATTATTTTTGAAAATCCCGACAAAATATAAAAATCGCGCGATTTTTTTAATTATTATTTTTTTTTTGTCGCGATTTCTTGTGTGGATTGTGTCTTGTCGGGATTATATATGGTCGGGATTTAGTCGTGTCTGGATTATGTCTTTCGGGGTTCTGTATTTCGGTATTTTGTATATCAGGATTTCATTATACACCCAAAAGTCCCATATAATTATTATGAGAAGACGTAAATAAATAAATAATCGTCCCGCGAGACAAAAAAATATATTTCTTATAAATTATTATTATACAAAGGCGAAAAAAAATTTCTTTAGAACAAGGTGACGTTTTTGATCCCCAATATGTATTAGGATAATAACTATTTTGGGTCTGATATAAAGTGGTGCTTTTTTAAGTGAAGTAAGAAAAAATCGTGGGGTTGGTTAGAATATAGATTTAGCATTAAGTGTTCAGCTGGCCTGTTGTTCTCCTTATTATAACTACCTTTGGAAATTTGAAATATATATTTATACTGAGGAATAAGGGATTATAAATTATATTTGTTATTCATGAAAAACATTTTTAATTTAAAAGTTTTTAATTAAATATACACGTTCATTTTTACTCAATGCATGTTTAATTTCCTCCCGTCCATTTTTTAAATTATGATGGGAGCAAGTTTAGTTTCAATTAATCGAAAGAAAACTTATCTTTGCAATGGAGCTTCATCTTACTACCGAATCAAAATGCAGTTTTTATCTTTTTGTTATTTGTGAACGCCCACTGTATCATTCGGTGGACGATAGTTGACTGGGCAGAGCACCTCATATTGATTGCCCGCATCACAGAGTTACCCCTAATTTCATTAATTCGACACTAAAACATTTCGATTTTCCGATTTTTTCTCTTCCTCTTCACTCTTTGGTGTTTCATTGGACATTTGCTCTCCCCGAATCTTAATATTGTGTTGTTCTTTAAATTTATTGATCTGTTGTCCTTTAGCGGTGAGGTCTTCGTTTACGCGTGTGATTGTTTTCTCGATGAAGTCTTTGTTTTCAATTAACTGCGGTAGAACATCCTTAACAGTTCGCTCTGCCAAGACACCACCGATCAGTCGAAAACATTTGCGCTCTGGATCCACTGTTTTGAGGGTTTCTATCACAGTTCTAAAAGAAATTCAATTAGGCATATGTACTGGAATTGATTTGATAGCGAATTGAAAACCATTTGAGGTTATGTTGTCATACATACTTGTGTTCTTTCAAATCCATCTCCAGCGTATTTAAATTGTTTACAAGGTTTCGTTGTTCATTTCTGAGCTGTTGGAACTCTCCAATAATCTTCTCGTTCAATTTGGCTTCCTTGGCTTGCTCGCTGGCCATTGTTTTCTGTGATTTTATTAACAGATGCACGAAAAACAGCAATCTTCCTCGGCAAATTCGCGTCTGGTAGTGATTACTAATTTCAGCAAAATGTTTGACAGTGCGAATTCGCCCCAACAGTGATGAAAAGTGGAGTCAAACAAGGCGAATTTAAAACAAGGTGGTGTTACCGGAGCGGCTGATTTCATGTCGAGTTTGAACTGTTTGTTAAAATTATGTGTTTGTTGTAATCAAGACGTATTAAACAAGGTGGTGTTAGCCGTATATAAGTAAAAAATTACACTAACAAATTGTAACGTGGTTGAAAATAAAATTAAAGTATTACGCGTTCTATAAACATAAAATAACTTAATTGAAAATATTCTTTTTTTTTTTAATGGTGAAGCTTGCGACTTATACCTTGGTTATAATGCACGGGGCGAATCGTAACAAATCGCGGCGAATTCGTAAGGATGTATTGATTTTAGATGCTTCCGTTTTACATTGCGTTCAAATGCATTATAATCGTTTATTGCCCATACAATAGATAATTAAGTGACAGTTCACTGCGTTCCGTTACTTCCATTATAAACCAGGAATATGACTACCATCAGCGTTTGCAATAATACCTTAAAAGTAGAACGTCAGTATAGGCCAACCCTAAAGCTGCCTTTACATTACTCTGGAAAAATCGCTCGTGTAAATGGTGATTCAAAAATCGCATGCCTCAAAGTAGACAGCAAGTGAACTTTTGAAGGCGATTATCGCCTATCAAAAAATCGTCTTTTGTAAAAGCAGCTTAAACCGAAGGTAAGGCGAATTCAAAAAATAATCTATCTGGTAGCGCCTTTAGAAATCGCCGCTAAATAGGCGAGATTTGTCATTGGATTCCGTGTTATCAATTTACAATTAATAATTTATTGTTGAGTTATAAAAACTTATTTTTTTATATTTAGTGATTCAGAGCATCTACGCGGAACGCTTAAAATGCTTCAAAACGTGATTGACTTCTGCAATTACTGGTGGTTCCGATATCTTATGGTCACAGAGCTATATATGGTCGAAAAATGGGAACGAGTTACAATTCGTAAGCTATCTTTTACCATATGCCACGATAATAAATATTAATCCAAATCGATTTCAACAGATGTGATTTTTGCAATACTCTTTTGCCTGTTTTGGTACTTTAACTATTCAGTGCTTTTATCGTTTACGGGTAGTGTACTAGGTATCACTCCTATCTCCAGCGTTGTGGACCAACACGGTAGCAAAATTGTGTAACTATAGCAATTCCATGATTGGAGGCAACTGCTGGCAATCACTGACGGAAAAATAGCGCATATACATACATACCTAGGCACAGAAAAATAATTTAACTCGTAGTCAAGAAATCACTTCTTTATCAGAATACTGCATTCAAAAGGTTCGACATATAACGAATGAGAATCCCGTATCCTACCAGTGACGCCAAGCCAGTAGGCCGCTTTCATTGTCATAGAAAGGGACATAAAGTAAATTTCCATATAAACTTTTATTGACTTTCCAATGCTTATCAAATAGTTAAAGCTGAATTTATTTAACAAATATTTAGTTGTTTGTAACACATTCATGTTATTAATCAAAACGCGTAATTGCCCCGTAACCGTGTAAACTCGTAAATAAACTGGTTTTCCGTACAAAATTGAGCAAGTTTGCGAGGCTTACTTGGTTTCGCGACATTTACGCCCATAAATGAATTGCCCTATTATTTATTATGCAGAAATGGAAAAGTATCTAATCCAATATAACAAAACAGCAGCACACTTCAGTTCGGAGATAAGTTTAAATACAAACTTCTAAAAGTATTATTATCAATGGAACTCGCATTATAGAATATGTTACTAATTATATGTATATTATAGCATCTTGTTTATGAGAATTTACGTAAGCTCTTGCAAGTTAAACTGAATTACCACTATCCAATTTTAAGTACACTTAAATGAATGTACATTCATTCGGATAATATATTATTGCGTGACATTGCAAATGTATATGCAGAACCATGATTATGTTTAAAATAAACAATAAAGCACTTTGTAAACGCCTAATTGTAGTTCTTACAAATTTTATTATTCACATACCAATGTACATGCATGCGCTAAAGACATTTTAAGAGCAAAATCTCGGGCAAGTATATTTTATCAATTTCTTTTTCAACAAAACGTTCATGTCTCTCTTTCAGCACAGCAGCATTCAAATTAAAATCTGACTTTAAAAAATGTATACTTGCCTTGTCTTCACTTACATGTATATTATAGTATTTACAATCAGCTAATAAATCATCTATATGCTCATGTATTACAAGCTTGCTTAAGAAAATAGCAGGTACCACCAGTTGTCTACTGGTATATGCGTGTGCAAATACTAAGTACACCTTGCTGTAAAATGAAAAATATGTAACGATTTACATTATGATAAATATTCAATATATACCGCCTTAGTATTTGCAACTTCAAAGCCGCTATTGCACTTAAAATATGTGGAAGCTTCTGTATTCCGGAAAGGACTCTATAGAAATTTCCTTGATGATAGCTTATAGCTATTTTATATGCTAAATCGAATGTTTCGCTTTTTCTAAAATTTCAATTAGAAATACATTTATGTTAATGCTATGTAGGTTTTTGTACATTTGCATCCAAAATTTACCTTACTTCCTGTGGAATACTCAATGCACGATTTAGCGCGTCTATCGTTCCTAAATTGAAGAGAAGATATATCGCCTCAACCAAATTACGCTTTCTTAACTCGTTTAATTTCATACTGTTTACATTGATATCATCGTAGCAACATAGAGCGCGTTTCAAGCACTCCTGCAGGTGTTGATTGCAAATTTTCGTATCAAAATTATCTATTTGATCTTCACAAAGTCTAAAAACTACAGAAATTAATTAAGTGTTTTTGGCAAAGAGAATGCATATACCTGTAACGACTATAAGCCAAAAACATGACCATTGGTTCAAGTAACTTCAAAGTTTGGCGTTCATTGTACTGCTGCATTACCACCTCCTGTCGAACTGCGCGCAAGCGATCGAATATGAAATCGTAAGCAAAGTTATACGGCCTTCGTTTGTCTAAGATTATACTAGAAACAACATCACATAAGCAGATACGAAAAAGCCTCCCGAAACCGGACTTACTCTTTTAATAAGTATTCCACAGTTTTTTGCAAGCATCGTTCTGTGCGTAAATCCTTAGCTCTGGGTGCCCTTACGCCAGCAGCTGACCGAACAAAAGATTTCACCAGCATTCCTGGAACATTTTTCTCGCCGTTTTTCCATTCATAAAAATGTAGAAGTCTCTCCTTAATTCGACTATGATTAGAGGGATATACAAGTAAATATTTTTAGCAGTTCTCAGCTTGGATACAATTCCATAAATCGCACTTACAGTTTTGCTTCTACTTCTGGGCAAAGAAAGTCGCAAGTTCCTAAATGAGTAAAATTGTTGCCGGTACTAAAAAGAGATTATAAAATATACAATCCTACCTGTAATACTGTTAGACATTGATATTTACGTAGTTTGTAATTTTTTTGGTATGCAGAATTGTCGTACTAAGGCGAATTTATATAAGGTGGTGTTCAATGTGAATTTATACAAGGTGGTGTTCAATGTGAATTTATACAAGGTGGTGTTGATGGCGAATTTAGATTTTCGCCGAGGTACGTCTTAATGTCAAAATGATGTGTTTGTTGTAAAATCATTTTGACATTCAGTAGTGTCGCGGCTAAAATTTTATTCGCCAACAACACCACCTTGTATAAATTCGCCTTGAACACCACCTGGTATAAATTCGCCTTGTTCATGAACACTACCTTGTATAAATTCGCCTTGAATAGGATCTTCAAGAGCTAAAAAATATTTTTTTTACTGGCAATTTGTTTACTACTGTCCTGAAGGCGATTTGGTATAATCTTCCGATTAAAAAGAAAACGATCAATATTTAAGTAAATTACACCGCCTTTAGTAATCTTTATTCTCTGTTTGTAATGGCAAACAAAACAGAATACAATGACGACACAACTGCTGCCCAAATACAGGATCAAAACGCCTTGCTGGATTCGCCTATTCGTGGTCCCACACTCTCAACAAGTACATCAAGTTTCGAAGCTTTAGATCCACATGATCCCAACTTGAGCAAGCTTGCAACAAAAATGTTTCGAAAAACAGAGGAATATATATGCAACGAACTTAATGCACCTCTCGAAGACTACAAACTATTGGAGGAAATGAATAAAGCTACGGTGGCCAAGTATTCGGATATGCACCAAATAGC